ATGTTAAGCGAGCTGACGAATGGTACAGAGAAGCTGCTTTACCTAGAGGTTGTCCTCGCTTTTGCCAAGATCACGGTGATTGTTGCACTGGATATGAATGCTGGAGATTTCCTGCAAGATGTATTCCTCCTAGACCTGGTCAGTTTGGCTATTGCTTCCCTGAACAAATTCAATGCTAATCGTTCCATGTACAGCAAGATTGCCGTCTCATTGGAGACAAGTTTACTAGCTGAATGGGACATTAGTACCAAAATGATCTGTTAGGATGAATAGGACATCATTTAATATTAACTAAAATAGAGGTCTTCCATTGCTTAGACAACTGTGACCATTGTAGTTTTACCTCTTAGCCTAGAATAGTCCAGGTCTATGCAATATTATGTAGATAAATTGTTGGAGAGTTCTAGCTTGGCTATTAAATTCCTAATATGTAAGCGTTAGATTAAATTTAAAATCAATGTTACATTGGATTCTAATATAAAGCAGCCAACGATTAAATAAAACAAACATTAAGTCAGCTTTATCATTGCAATAATATGATTACTGATCTTAATCGTCATAACAAAAATGATGTCATATTATGATAAACTTTCGGTGATTATCAGTACCTATATACCAATAATCTGTGTGCGAAATAGGTAAACTGTACATCTGGAGATGGATAGTTGATTTATTTGCCTCCATTTAAAATTCTATATAGCTGATAAAGTAGCTAATTGCATGTCAGGTTGAGAATTTCACCTTTGTAGTATTTAATTTTTTTGCTGCTAGAAATGGGTAGAGAAATACATGTACACTAATTCGCTTCTACTGAGACACTTTAAAAGATCAGTTTGAACGATTCTATTGCAATTTTAAGGCGAATACGCATAAGATGATATATACTGTATTAATACTGTATTAGTTTGGCGTACTCCTATCTAATTTTGAGATAATGTATTTCATCTAAAAAGTAAGAACACTAACTACAATTACTATAATTACAGATTTGATCGAAATAAAATCTAACAGTCGATTCAAATACATTCTGTAAAGGTTCAAGGGTCATCTAAGATTACAGGATCCTTTTCGGAGTTAGGTATGAACAGTTAGCCCTACATAATGATGAACAGGGGGTATCTTACCTGAAGCTCATATTCTAATTTCATGCGAAAATAAAGTAAGATATATAATTATGTATGAATACCTTTTAGTAAACAATATGAAACGAAAGTATAATCGTAAGAATGGATTAATATACCTTTCCGATGGTCATTTTTACCCTACATAGTTAATTTGTTTTACGTCAGCTGTATGTGACGTATCGTAGAGTGATAGCAATTCTCTTCATCATCCCATCAATTATATTATCATGTGGCATAAAAACGAAATGTTGCCTTAACATTTACATCAGTCAAATTTATTAGTGTTAACATTTATCTGAATCAAACAAATACTTGAAAGGCAGAAAATTTTTACTCAATTATACATATAATTATCAGCAGAATCTCCATTATACGGTATTCCTACTGTTAACGTACTATACATAAGTTTATTATAGGAGTTTGCTAATGGGGTGTGCTTTATTTCTGAAATATTTAAATTACTTTTTTGAATTGATTTATCTTAGATCAACGAATGAGCTCAAACAATTATAATTAAAATGGTTTGTACGTACGTAGATATATAACTATAGTCCAAGGATTGCTAATAATTTCTTGTCCATTTTACACAACAGTGTATATTTTAAAACAAGTTGGCATTACTCACGAGTAATTGCGATGGATAGAAATAGCAAAAATGCCACTCCGAGCGACCAAATAGTTTCCCCCGGGGTACAAACTACTGATCCAGTAATGTAAAATAGATTGAAAACTTTAAAAATATATGATTATGTTAAAGACTAATTTTGTGAGTGGATTTTTACTGTGTGAGGTTGGAATTACAAACAACTTAAATCACCTTAAGTAAAGATTTAATATTCAACAAATTTATAAGTTTACAATGTTTTTGCCAAGAGCTAAAATTCTAAACAGTATTCATCAATTTATATCAACGCGTTACAAGCATATCCGATCTTTCTGTATATCTTTAAATTTCTAATCAATGCAGTATGCATGCACAGAGTCTTAGTATAATAAAACCATGTTGGTTTTAAAACGAGATAATAAAGTTTACTAAACTAGTTCAAGAAAACACCTATTGCGAATTAGGTATACGCATAGTGGCATCTAAAAGAGACGTCGCAAGTAGATCAGCTACTTTTTAAGCAGCATACACTAATTAAGAGCTTAATATTATCCAACTTCGCTAAATAAAGCTAACGAGTCATACATTCACTCAGCGAACTTTATACACTAATACTAATCAATTTAATAAAGTAATAGTTAAGGAATTATCTGTACAGTATGAATTAATTTCATTCTCGCATTTAACATCAAGATGAACTAATTAAAATGGTTTAGGAGTTTCGATTCGATCAAAATCGCCTCCAAATAAAGGTGTCGATCCCATTTCTAATTCCCTTTGTAGTTCTTCAATTTCTTTCGGACTCATACTACCTAAATCAAGCCAATCTTTCAACAGAGAGGCCGATAATGGAGAACTTATATCAATAGGCGTATCTGTCTGAGACCTAAAAGCCAAATCAGAAAAATCTTTCAGTCTACATACAAAAGCGTAAGTGTTCATTGTGTGGCATCGCACGTACGCGTACAAACATTAAATACGTAAATAGAGAATAAACCAGAGAAAGGACTTGTAACAATCCAGAATTATGAAAATAACATTAACATAATGACGATTCTTCAGAATAATGTAAGGAGATGACCGATTTTCCATTTTGTACGTATAACTACATACTTACTGCGGTTAGCCTTTAAACATTTTACTCGTACAAATAACAACGTATCGTTGTATTTGAAGTGCTGTTAGTGGCAACTCGTAATCTTTATGAAAATATCAGTAAACTGTAACTACACCGGACTAATAAGCATGAAAGTCATCACAGGTGACGTAAATAAATGTATAAGTCGGCAACAACTTCTTCGCAACCCTTTTGCCGTTCGCTCACTACCTACCTACCTAATATAAGCAGTACGCAACGTAAGATGACATCGGATGCCATGGATACGTATAAAGTGTCTACAATTTATGTAGCAGATACTTGCAAACTTGCGAATATTTAACTATCTGACGTGCTATTATTTTTAGTTTCATTTCATAGCAACGAGTTGCAACTACACCTGTTCATTTTGTTGGTAATTCACTAACAGTATGTTAGGGAAATTCGTAATTGTACATACAGTAGAGTAAAAACATAGTCAGCTGCCATATATCTTTAAGTTATTTCAATACGGCCGGCCAAAAACATCGGAGTAATAGATAGATAGAAAGCTGATATAAATTTACCAGTACTGAATGTAAGCAAGAATGAAGTAGTTCAATACCATTAATGTTACTGTTAAGCGATAATCTTTTATAGACGCCAAAATTAAATATTATCACTTTGTCATACTCCATCATTGAATAGCTATATACACGATAGATGCTGCAACAATAAATCCATTTACCTAATTTGTTCTTGCTTGTTGTTGCACGATAAATCAGTTGGTTGAACGAAAAAGCTATCATCTACATTATAACCTAAACCATAACCTGAGGCAACACCACCGCACGGTGGAACAGAATAATAACTATTTTTTTCACCACTTCTGCCCGGAGAAACGACGACCGTTCTTGTCATACATGGATTCGGTAGACATAGGCTATTCTCTTCTACTTCTAACGGTTCACCACTACCTTGATTTCCAAGAGTAGAGACCGTATGAGAAATATTATTTTCTATTCCTATCGCATCATGTACGATATTGTAACTATTTATGGTATAAATGTCCTGATCTTGATTGAGATTGATAGTATTATCCGTGGTTACTTGGGTAATTGTGTTGTGATTACTTATATCTGAATCAAGAGGTATAACATTTGGATTATAATTTTCCATTGAAAAGTTATTAATCGAATTATTCACATTAAACTTAGATTGATTTGCTATATCAGGTTTACGCGGTTCCACTTTAACTTTTCCTTGTAGGCTTTTCCACTTTTCCAGTAATTCTTTGTCTGATTGAGTCAAAGTTTTGCCTTTATCTTGTGGATCCTGTAGTGACGGTGACGTTCGTTGAACTGGTTGTTGTTTTCCTTGCGCTTGACTTTTTTGCTGTTTCATTTTTAAATCATGTTTTTCTTTTCTCATTTTTTTCTTTAGACAACGTTCCATATAAACGGTTCTTGCAGTCCTACGCTTTCTGTCTTGAGCGTTGTGAGCCTGATTAGCCTCTACATTTTGTTCATTATAATGAATTGCTGAACTATCTTCAATAGCGATATTCCCAAGATCGTGATTTTGACCGTCTCTTGGATTAATTTTCATTGCTAATTTCTGTTTCAATATACTAGCAGTACTCGATGAGATGTGCGACGCTGTATATATAATTAACAACAAAAAAAAAAACAATAAAATTAGATTAACTATAAACATTGATATAGTATCGTTCGACCCATTCAACTTGGATCTTTTGATTTTAGAATTAATATTTCTAATTTTCTAAGCACGAATCTCCGATGAATACAACACGTATTATTAGCATTACACTACTACCACCTCAATATTTCTGACCTTTAATTTTATCTGATGTAGTTTTAACTTGATCATCAACATCTACGGTTAAATGAATATTTTCATTGTTTGTATCATTATTATTATAATTATCCGCAGCAGCAGCTATCCCTATCGGTGGCGCAATATTAATTGATTGTTGCTGTTGATTGTCAAGCTCACTTCCGTTCATTGGAGTGTCAACATGTTCCATTTTGATGTTAATGGCACTTTGGCCAATTGGTAAGCGGTGATCTGAGAAGTCTGCAGGTTGTTGATCGTGACGCATCCTTATTAGATCCATAGGTATCGTTGACGTCGTTGATAATGTTGAAGAAACCAATTTAAAGTCGATGGATTTTTCAAAAGATTTAATTTCATCTACAATGACCTCTTTCAAGGCATTGGAAGATAATGTGTTTTTTTCAAAATCGAAATCAAAACTGGACGTACAAACAGGCTCATCTTCAGCATCATGTAATGATGCTAAATAAGGATGAAGTAATGCTTCTTCCACATTCAGTCTTTGACTAGGATCAAACTGTAACAACTGATCGAGTAAAGTTAAAGCGTGCTCTGTTATGGATGGGAACAACACTGTCCATGCAATACGCTGTCGTTGTGGCAAACTATCAATATACTTGCGTACGCGTTCAGCACCTGATGATAACAAGAATTGATGGCATGGTGTACCCAAGACACCTATTATCAAACGCAACTGATGTACGTAAGTTTTACCAGGGAAGAGTTGTTTCCTACCTAACATTTCAGCAAATATACAACCAACAGACCACATATCAATAGCACGCGTATAACCTTGTAAGCTTAGCATTAATTCAGGTGCACGATACCATCGCGTTGCAACATATTCTGTCATATAAGTTGTATGATCAATTTGACTGGAAGAAATACAACGTGCCATACCAAAATCGCCAATTTTCAACTCGCAATTACTATTAATTAATAAGTTACTGGGTTTTAAATCGCGATGCAATACATTGGCTGAATGGATATATTTCAGACCGCGTAATAATTGATACATGAAAAATTGCATATGATCATTGGTTAAGGGTTGCTGCGAATGAATAATATGATGTAAATCGGTTTCCATTAAATCAAAAATGACGTAAATATCTTGTCCGTCAGCTTGATTAGCTAATAAGATTTCACGTATTGCGATAATATTATCATGTTTGAAATGGCGTAAAATTTTCAATTCACGATATGTTCTCTTGGCCAAGATCAAGTTATCAAATACTTTAGCGATTTTCTTGATAGCAACACGACAACCGGTACGATTATCGATAGCCGAGCAGACAACTCCATAAGCACCGGCGCCAATGCATTCAATGGGTTTATAACGTAAATGGACATCGAAAATGATTTGCACTGTTGTTAAATCTTGCAAGGATAATAATCCGCTTGTGCTACTTTTGTTTTCATCCTGATGTCGATCACCATTGCCATGATATTGGCTTTCATCTTCTTTCCCTTCATCGTTGTCTCCCTTGGCAACTGTATCGTAGATGATTGTAGACGGCGGTTGCGATTGTCGATTGGTTGTAGGCTCTAACATTGAATCCAGTTACATTGAGTCGTAGCGGATTTGCAACGCACTTGGCCTCGATCGATCGTCTATTGGTATTCGCCTTGATGAATCCTCTTATACTTGTCTAGTCCCTTTCGCTTTGGTATCAATACGCGTAGGGTCTGCGATCAAAGGCAACAGAATTTCAATTAATTCACTAGTATACAAAGCGAAACCTGCCTGTATCAAGGTATCTTGAGATCCAGTAACGATGAAGATGGTGGAAAAGGCGTAGATTAAGGTAGTTGCACGACGAATAAAATTGAGAAGAAAAAATGGATTCACTAGACGATCATCCAAGCCTACAAGCAACCAAATCTGTACAAGATCAGTTCTGCCGACAGTACGGTACCGTCCGGGTATTCTGCCGTACTGTACCGTACAGTGTACAGTGGTGCATGTATCGAAGTATACTGTACACTGTACACTGTACTACACCAGGTACCGGTCTGGTCTGGTCTGGTCCGGACTCGACCCTGCAGAATACGGTACCATAGAAGCAGACTGTTGTAATCTTTTTCCAAATTCATCATAATGTCACTGCGCGTTACTGCCCGTATGTCATTTATTTGCAACGACAGAAATAGAAGTATCTTGTCTAGTGTTGATCTTATCACTCAGAGGCAAAAAAGACGTGTTATATCACAGACTTCTACATCTCTTGGAGATGTAGAAGTCCATGATAATGTAGGCGGTCATGTAATATGTTGAAACTAGTCGAAAGTACCGTGCAGGCTACTGCAATCAAACACGGTACGGAGATAATTCAGCATCCGCTAGTACAGTACAGTACTGTACCCTATTAAACGGTGTTACATTTTTACTGAATATGACTGGAAGCAGCTGGATGACAATTGTAGACAGTATAATGTGTCGTTTCCGATAGCCATTTCAATTGAAATGGCTATAAAAATAATAATAATCGGCTCGCATATTTTGACCGAACTGAATGAGCCATTTCCTGTCTCTACAGTGTACAGTGTACATCACTGTACAGTGTACAGTGTACAGTACAGTACTGTGCTGTAATGTGGTGTCATCAAGACGGATGTCACTCGCAGGAGGCCATACGTAGCAATAGGTAGCATCACTTTTTGGACGGACAGACGCTTTTGGCCCCATCTCATCAAAATACTGTGCCAAACACCTCGTCATGACGGTATTTTAGTATGGAGACGACCGATTTTAAATTGATGGATTTTTACTCAATTAAGTAATAGAACGTTGAATCTGTATCTGTTACAAAGTTCTGCTTGGAAACAGGTCGATAAGATCGTCAATGTGATTTCCATTAGTACCTGCGATTTAGAAAACAGACATGGAAGCTGCATACTAACTAGTCATTTTTCGATATTGACGGTCTCATCCGGTCTGAAAAATCCGTCTGTCCATTCACGTCTGTCCGCGCTCGTAGGAGCCAGTCATTGTCACATGACTATCGAGTGTCATCAGTGTCAGGTCTAGTCATCACCACCGCAACAGTTTCTATTCCCCAGTCTTAAGTGGAAAATTCTCGCCAATCAACATGGCGCAGTGTGGCAAATTTTTAATTTACTTTTCCATCTTCATCATCACTTTGGCGACATTGTGCTCTTGTCAAAGCGGTAGCGTTATCTATAAAGATGGCTTGTATACTTTTTCAAAAGGAATCAATAAAAGAGCGGCTAGTTATGGTACATTTACGGACAAAATTGCAAGTAGTGGGTAAGCATAATCAAATATCCATGGTTGCCATTTGTATTCAACAAGAGCTAAAGAGTTTCTCGATGGAAAATACTGTAAAGCATACCGCTACTAAAGTAGTATACAATTGAATAATATCTTACTTTTCATTGGATGCCGGCGTTATTTCCATGTAGATTATACTTGGTCTATCCTGTAGATTTAGATGACTAGTATTAAAGTCAACTTAATTTGTAGTGTTGAGATAGATTGCATTAAATACGTTACCCATCTCGGTAGTTCCCATTTGCCACGACTGTAGTGTTCAAATGTTATAAAGCAATCGAAGGACTGTAAACATTCAATCATAGTATAGCGCACTACTACCAAGCTAAGCAACAAAATAAATAACGTATACTTGCTCAAGTGTTCCCATTGGTGCTAAATTACGATTGTCAAGCGCAGCTACTCAAGTTAGTGAAGTACTGTAGAACAGCGAATGATAGTGACTTAATATTACTTTTCATGTTACGTCAGCCTAATAGTCATCATCTTACGTACAGATCTTCAATTATCCTACAAAACAGGAATTGCAGTTTAGTAGTCCCTACAATAAAAAAAGATTATAACGTATACTCACCTATATTACGGTAGTATTATTAAATGCTATCAAGCAGAGCTACTAAAGTACTGCAGGGATTCAGCTATACAGGACTGTGCTGTCATGACAATCATATCCGACAGCAAGTGGGAGTTACTTTTCAAATTTTACTTTTTTACATTCTGTCAGTGTCATAATAGACATACATAACAATCTTCAAATGCCCTACGAAGCAAGAACTCAACTACAGTAGCCCCTATAATGAAATACATTATTGTGTATACTCCTCTGCAGTGTTTCTATTTCGTATTCATTGCTGTAAAGCAAAGACGTTGAAGTAATGCAGAATTCGGTCATGCTGTCATGACTACAATATCCAACTGCTAGCAAACGAAAGTTACTTTAACTTTACTCTTTATGCTCTTTTAACGCCATCATAGTTATATATAACTATCTTCAAATGTACTACAAAAATAGCAACTTCAGTACTGTACAGCACGGCAATGATAACAGTAATCAACAGCGAACAAGAGTTACTTTTATAATGTACTTTTCAGGTTATGCCAACATCATAATAGTACTACTCAACGATCTTTAAATGTACGACAAAACAGCAACTGAAATACTATAGCACTAAAAAATACGTTATGACGTATACTTGCCTGTATTAGTCTATTTAATGCTGCACAGTACAGCGATGAAGTAGTACAAAATTCAGTCATACTGCAATGATAACAATTTCCTACGGTATCGAGGAGTTACTTTTTAATTTTACTTGCCATGTTTTGTAAGCGCAATAGTAATACCTAACAATCTTCAAATGTCCTACAAAATACCAAATTCTTCCAGTACAGTAGTCTGCAATGAATACGTTAATGAATGAACGCGTTTACTCGCGCAGTATTGCATATTACAATCAATCACCGTTCGTTATACGTTATTTAAGTTATATGGTCCTTGCATATTCAATTCGAGCCGAAAGCATTCATGCCTCGTTTTGCTATTTTAGAGATTATAACGTGTTGTAATCTACTTATAACATGAAATATGTTTGAGTAAAATTGAATGATAACAATACGTAATTGCTGAATGAATGCATTTTCATATCTTTCAATACGATCTACTGCAACTGCTATACCTAGATGGACATACCTAGATGTCCATACTAATCCGCAAGACGACGACTTCATAACAGCTTATGCTGCTGGCTATGTCGAAGGCATTTTAACCGCAAAGTATATCTATATGCATTGGAAAAATACTGTAGGTGATTATTGCAAACAAAAATCAATTTATTGTCAGAAATTGAAAAGTTTTATTATGAAAAATAATCAATGGATGGCAACACAAATCAAGCATAGGCCACATTCCATTTATTGGTACCATGTGAGTTATAATCGGATAATATTCTTAGTATAAATAACTAATTGTTAGCATTAAGGACGAGTTGGATTTGTTCTTACAGTCCAACTATAGCAATGGTATTCGCTATTATATTGCATCACCGTAATTCAAAATAAAATTCTCTACTATACTGTCTAGTTAAATAGTTGTATGTTTTGGTATCGTAGATCAACCTAACGCTTATACAACAAAAAGGTTTGCGAGATGGATATCATAAAGCCATGCCTCATAAACCGATTGACGAATTTTCATTCTTGTAAGTAGACCAGACTCTTTTTATGTCAATCCTTTGTAGAGAGTTCGCTAATATGACAGTCAAACAAAAATAGAATTAAGGACGTAGCGTCAGATTAAAAATGATACGGAAAATATTTGATACGTTTTCAGATTAATTGAACTTAGCGGAGATCTGGAATCGCTAGAAACTGCACTAAAGGATGAAGATACTCATCATGTACTTGGTAGTGGATCGTGTTCGGCCTTCATAAAAGTCCTACCCGACAACAGAGATTTATACTTTGCACATGATACATGGACTGGCTACCAAACCATGCTTAGAATATATAAATATTACGAGCTCAACTTCAGTATGCTGCCAAAAACCAATGGTAACTTGCAATATTAGCAATAAACTAAATTTAGTATGTGAGCGCTAAGCGATCAATGTGATTTTGCGTTTTAGTTACTGTTCCTGGAACGCGAATTTCTTTCTCATCATATCCTGGCACAATTTTAAGCGGGGACGATTACTACCTTATTGGTTCTGGTTTGGTAGGTCTTTACCTCTATTGTATACCCAATTCATTGAAGTTACTTTTACAATGTCACATATTGTGTCTATTTAGCATATGTGCTTAGCTGTATCGGATGTAGTACTTTATTCACAAATTAGACTGTATATACTACTTTCGAATAAATTGCTTATCTATCTTGATAGGCAACTATGGAAACTACGAACGGAAATAGCAACGAAAAACTTTGGAAATACGTTACACCTTCGTCAGTACTAGAATGGATTCGAACAATTATTGCGAATCGTTTAACAAGCTCTGGAAATGATTGGGTGAAAATCTTTAGTAAATACAACAGTGGAACGTAAGATCATTAGAATAAATTTTCATAGACACATTTGCTCATTTATTACCAAAGCCTAGAAATATCACTGTCAGCTATCATTAATTAGATCTTTTCTCTATTTTGCAGGTACAATAATCAGGTAAAGATTTTCAAACTAATGAAGATAATAATATAATTTTAGATAGAAGATTTAGCCATTTTAGATGCGTCAAAACTGACAAAGGTTCTCTAAATAGAGTTGCATCAAAACTGTGACGACTGTTGACGTATTTTTAAAATATTCACTAATAGCAATTAATAAGTTATAGAGAGAGTACATGTACTATCCTAGAATTGAGCGAATGATTCGATCTAATTTATCGCTTTTGTAACTATATTTGGAGATGCTTCTGCTAATGGCTTCTGTTTCAAAAATTTAAATTTAGTGGATGATACTCGACTATAAATTATTTGCTCCGAAGCGTCCTTTAAATCCTAACACCTTATGGGTTTTAGAACAGATACCGTGAGTTGCTACTTACAAAGTAATCGCTATGATTGAAATGCTCATTTGGTTGTGATATCTCATCAAATAATTATTATTCTTTCTTCCATTCAAATATACGAATAAAATAGCGGTAAAATAGAATCCGCTGATGTCACGAATGTTTTAAAGAAACAAGGTTATTGGGCCAGTTACAACGTACCGTAAGTATGACAAATGTAATTAGGCATGAAAGCATTATTATAGCTTTAGTAACTTTTCTCTTAATGTGCGTAGATATTTTTCAAGCATTTTCAACATGAGCGGTAACCAAGAACAAGCAAAGAAATACGGTAACTGGTTTACACATGACAAGTGTCCTCGTGCGTTAATTTTTAAGCGAGATCAGCACAAAGTTAATTCTATGGAATCTTTAATGAAGCTAATGAGGTAAATTAGTAAATTGTAGAACTTCTATAAAATTTCGCTTTTTATTGTCTAGATGAAGGTCAAAGGTTACCCGTACTTAGATTAGCTATCGTCATTAAAGCTATGCTTTTTTATAGATACAACGATTTCAAACATGATCCATTATCTAGATGTAACTGTACTCCTCCATATAGTGCAGAAAATGCCATTTCAGCCCGATCAGATCTTAATCCAGCTGATGGAAAGTATAATATTGGAGCTCTAGGTCATCGTTGCCATGGAGGCACCGACAGTAAATCTACCAATTATACCATGTTTCATTCAGGACTAAAGAGTTATGCCATTGCTGGGCCGACACATGAGCAGCAACCTCCATTCAGATGGAGTACGGCAAAATTTAATATGACCAAGCCCCTTGGACATCCAGATCTGTTTAATTTTACTCGTCAGTTAGTATCGTGGGATTAATTTTCAAATACTAAAGATCATGACTTAGTTGCAAGACAATGCCATTATGGCAACAGTGTTAATTGTATTGATAGAAACCTTGTATGAACAACTTCAATTTGCTATGATTCAAGATAATGATCCATATTTAATAGTGCATCAAAATTCAAAATTATTTTAATCGAAGAATTATGACGCTATTTTATTGTTAGATACTGACTGATATTACTGGTAAAGTTTTTGTGTTTTTAAGATCTATCTATATTGAATTTATTATTGTAATATAACTTGTAATCTGTAGGTATATTTTGATTGCATGAAATAAAATTGATTATCTTTACAGCCTTACATTTTATGTAAATATTAGTATAGAAAACATAAAAAAGTACAGTATCTGCACTTGTAGGAACAGCACAGTAATAGATTATACTCGTTTAATATCTAACCAATACAGAGTTTGGCATACGAATACGACATGATCTTATCACAACCCAGTTCATGGCATGGACCTGAAGAAATACTAGCTAGTTATTAATTGTTACAGCGTCATAGAACTACTCTTCCAAATTATTTGTACGAACTATTCTCAAGTTTTTGCTGTGTAAATGTACGACGGTCTATTGAATAATTTTTTGAAGCATTTTTCTATTCGAAAAGTAGTTAAGACCTCAATACTTCAGGCTTTAAAATTCAATTTCAACTACTTTAACCTTTCAACGTCAACTAATATGTCACCAGACTTCATATCAATTTATTTTATTTTATTTTAGTACAAAGCAAGTTTTATACACAGTAGGTACAAGTCAAGCAATAATTCTTATTAGCAGACTCAATTTATAACAAGTAATGCATTTTATGTGCCATAACTGAATTATACTCATATAGTACTATTTACCACCATCGATAATTAATAAGATATATGAAGCAGTCTAGGAACAATACGTCAGTCTCCGACTAAGTTTCCGCGTAAACGATGTAGTAAATCAGATATAATTACCCTATTAATATAACTACAATTACGGACACCGATATCTTGTAACTAATGCTAAACTGTCTAGTAACAGCATCTTTGTTAAGACTACAAAAACACACAATTTACACTAAGATAATAGCAATCTCAAAATTACACTATAAGCAATTAATCTCACTATCATATCTAAATATACTGTATTTACATCCTAACAGGTAACGTTTCAGGAGCTAGTGTTTGATTTTTACCTATAACAACCAAACATATAGAAAAATAGATGAGAAAGCATAAACAAACATTTCCCTATAAACAGCTGAATAAAATACGAGCAGTCCAATGTGATAAATCTTAGGAGCAACACGAATGCCACCAATATTTTAAAGCTCTCAGGGACTCTTACCATCACTACTATGCATGCTTATCGGTAATATTAACAATTTGAAGTTACATATTTTGTATGTGATACTTTTCCCTTCGATTGAATAAGTGTAAGTGCAACTACCTCAGAGTTAAATATGCACTTGCAAGCGTAGCATAAATGATCACTGGTCGATTCTAAGATAATATCATTGATATAAGAACATGACTAAAATCATTCTTATTCCGTGTTTGTAAATTACCCGCTCAAATAGACAGGAACATAATTTGCACAAAGCAGTACTGTACATTAAATGAAAATTCACAGGTAGATCATCTTAATATAGCAGGCTGCAATAGCGCTTTGCGTTGGAGCGCAAGTTCATTGATTATGCCTAGCTATACAATTCAGCTAACTGAAATGACGCACATGGAAGCACTGCCGGATAAGATCTTCAACATGGACGCAACTATAGAACAAAAAAGTCCTGTATCGCTACGACAGATACCAGAATAACCATCCCATAATTGTCACTATTTTAGAAGCTTCCAGCCAGTTGCGATATTGTTTCTAAACAGAACTTGGCAAAATTTCCTATGCAGTAATCGATATTTGCCATTAATGATTATTATGGTGTCTATTTTGAATAATGTTGCAGATGAAACGTGATTACTTTTCCTTTTAAAACTAGATGAATACTTTGACCAGTACGGTAGATTGAAATCCCTACCATAATTCCGTACCTTTCTTCTTCATATCTTTCTGTGGCATGTAGAGCACATAGGTTCAATTTTTAGTCCATAGATTGGATTAAAGTGTTGTAAAATTAATTGGCGTAGATTAACGGAACAAAAATTGTTCCATATTTCAGTACATCTTTGACTGTCTCAAAATTTAATATTCGCTCAATGAACCTACAGTAGTAGTAGGAGACTATTACATGGTCATTAAAACCCCCCAAAATAGAGGATATAATGCGATAACCAGCTTGGAGGCCATGTAGCAATATAATCCAGTTAGAAATCCGCTACTATATCAGGTACCATAATATCCCCTAGTTTTGGGGTAAATACGCGTATTCAGCTTTCTATTCTGAGACCAAGCTTTATTGAAGAAAAAATGTCGACATTGTCCAATGTCGTCGCAAGATAGCAATAGGAAAATAATTCGTGATATGGATAAGGGATATTAACAATTAGGCGATTAAACCACCCACCATTAATATTCACCTCAATTTGGTACATTCCAATTGTTGCGCGAATACTGTCAGCTGTCAGCTTGCAGCCAATTTCCTTCAAAAATTTGATAGGTCGTACTTGATTAGGGCATTTTCTAAGGCACCTCCAGTAAGTCTATAGTGCTATTAGCCGAAGAAATACATCACATTATGATACTACTAAATGGGAAATTGAAATAAATGGTAAGAACATACCTACATTTTACATGTGAAAAAATGAATTAAAATCATGTGAAGTTCAGGCGATAAATACCCAAATTTTTCGTTATAAAGAGTGGATCATGAATTTTATAAACTCTTAGGTTGGGTTTATTCGGGATCTGAAGTATACTTCGCCTGCAGTATTGGAATCTTATGCTAGCTATTCTTTCTGTAGAAATATTTGCTGTGCAGCCATGGTTATTAATGGTATCCAACGATGAAACTTCCTTTCTTTAGCCTAATTTTAACATATATAAAATGGATCTGTTGTTATTCAATTTTTTAACTAATTTATTCAAAGATCACAGCCGGTAGTACCCAATCTTTATGATTACTTTAATTATACTGCAAAATTAATAATTAAGCTTAAATTTAGCATCAAGCAATTATTACAAAACTTGTCGGCAATGCAGGCAATGATTAATGAATGGACTACTATACATGAGTACATATTTAATGCCACTAAAGCATACCTAGCTTAGTAACAGTAAATCAGGTATTACACGTAACCACCTTAATATTCTATTCGACAATTGAAAATATACAGATTGACTCAGATAATACAACAAATACCTTAAGATGGTAGGAGTTAGCACTGGTATTTCGCATATCGACGTTTTATAGAATTATTCTTGATTTATAATTGAATATTCTACCATTTTCTTGTCTTTGATTAAAGTATTCGTTGCTTGTTGGTCTTTAAGGATAGAGGCTACGTAAACTCCATTCCTATTTGAATCTCATCGCAAGGATAGGGTGATGATTTGAAGCCATCTTCATCTTGCAGAATTTTGTATTCCATTTTGAGCTCGTAAGGAATAAGTTATAGGAAGATACCGATGAACTAAATAGGTTTATCTAAGCAGGAAATATTTTCTATACAGATTGAACTAATTTGCTACAATCTAAAAATTCGGCCACGACTTTGTCAAAAGCAAATATGAAATGTAAATCCGATTAATCGATGACAGTCTATTGCTGGCAATCGCTGATGTAAATGTATTCATAGATGATTACAGTACATAGTTCAATTTTTATGTTAAGTTCAACTGTAATCATGGCTATGAACGCCATGCATATGATAAATAAACGATTCAAATGAGATAATACTGTAGTATATGTTTCAATGTAGAATTAAAATAAGAATTGCAAAACAGACTTTATAAAATAGTCCCTAACACGTTTACACAGTATTAAAATCAAAGGGATAGGTAATTTGTTTATGTTGTATTGAAACTGACTAAAAGTCAACTTTAATAGTAAAAGTTTTAGGTAATCTAGATAAAGTATAGCATTTTAACTGTAATAACTTAATAGATCGCAGCGTTAAATGCTGTTCCTATTGCTTAGGTGCATTAGGAATAGCAGGTTACTTTAAGCAATGCATATTCATTAAAAATAAATCTCATTAATATAAGAATATATCGTATTCTATAGCAACGAGATAATAACAGCTACCACAAAGCATTTAAGTCTTATGAATTAATTCTAATACTTTAACATTCTTTTCTGATATCTTGAGTCATCGGTATTCTTTTCATTTATATTGAACTTGTATTCTTAAGTTACTTCTAATAATTAAATAACTATCGAACTATTACTTTCGTGAAATGCCAGTAAAACGGAATGATAATATTGGTGGGGAGGATATATAATTTGGAGCCGGCAGTGAAAATGGATATCATCATGATATACTGACTTGAATTATGTCGAATAACCCGTCATGTTAGCCATAAGTATGTAGCACCAGTAAACAGAAGCATATCCAGTCTGTTTAACTATACATGCTTATTGCAGTAGATGTATAAATCCAATGGGTAACGTTTATACATACTGTACTATTTTTAATGTAGAACACTACCTTCACTTACAGTGTAAGGCGTTTTTATCGCCATATCATAATTTACTACGTATAATCTTATGAATTTATAGACTTTTCGTTACGTAAACTGTAGCTAAGCCGTTGGAAAACTATTATCAACTATTTCGTTAATCGCATTTAGCATACGCTATAACTATAATTTACCCTATAATTATTGCCGTTATCAGTATAAGAGGATAATTGGCATTAATGTAATCGTAACAAAACGAATCATTAGAGCTAAAAATATGTCAGAAATACCTGGTCACTATGTTCAGGCTTCAGAGCTCAAATTTATTTAGAAATCAAATAAGTGCTGTTGGTAGTTTGCAGACTTCATTATTCGATTAGTATCTAAGAACGGATACTTTCGGTTTACAGTTAGTCGTAACGCAGCAAATTCGAATCTGTTACCGTGCAAAAGCTACCGTACTGAAAAGTTCAAGAAAATCAAGTATCGTCATTTACTATTTGGAAACTTAAATGGATTGAGTAAATATTACGATCGAACTGATATTGACAAGACTACTGGTCAAAATTAAATACAAATTAATAATAATAGCCGACAATATTACATGTACGAAGTATTTAACTCTTATAGAGAGCCTGAAATGCTAAATTTTCGATAAATCTTCAAACTCGATAATTGTGCTTCAGTGAGTTATGAAAATAGAACTACAAATATTTTCTTTGCAT